GCGGGCTCGATGCCCGCGGGGGCCAGGCCGGGTCGCACGGCGGGGCTGCCCATGTAAGGGGAGCCCGGGGGGCCCATGGGCGCCCCCTGGTGGGGCATTCGGGCTCCAGACGGCATCCCGGGGCGCTGGGAGTGGGGTGAGGGTGAAGCAGAAATGGGCACCCGCAGGTCAGAGCAGGGCCCTCCCGCTCCAGGCGCCGTGATCCTGTGTCTTCCTCCCACCCCCACCTGCCCAGACCCTCAGCCGGTGACCCTGAGCGACAAGCGGTGGCCGGGAGGGGCAGGGGGGCCGGCATCAGCGCAGAGGTGGCAGAGTGGGGGCTTGGCGACGGCTGCGGGAAGCGAACTGAAGCCAGGCAACTGCACCGGGCATCCCACTGAGGAAGGTACCGCAGAAATGAATATTCATGGCGCCCGGCAACCTTTCAAAGCAAGTTCACGTCCACACCTCACAGTACCACAGACCGAGCGCCTCCTTTCATCCCCACTTGACGGATGCGGCAACTGTGGCTCAAGGAGAAAAGTGACCTCGCCAAGGTCATTCAGCTCCTTGTGGCCAAGGCCACACCAGCAGGCCCAGGTCCTGAGGGGCCGGCTCCTTGCTCTGGGCTCAGGGTCAGGGCTGTGCTCCCCGCTCTGGCTCCCGCTGCTCCTTCTGCCCCCTCCGGGCGGTCCCCCCACCTACTCATCTGGACCGCTCTCCCCTGTCCCTGCTTTTGGCCCCAGACGCAAACCCACTGGCTGGCCCTGTCTCCACACCCAAGGGCTTTATAGACTTAGCCCACCTCCTCAATTTGCTGCCATGGTGAGGGCTGGCTCAGACGCCAGCGGGGTCCTCTGGGGGAGGAAGGGAGCTGGGATTGGTGGGCTCGGAGGGCCTGGGGTGGGTCAGAGCCAGCGGCTTTTCCACTGACTACCAGCTCTCCCTCCTGTCCACCTGGGTCCGCAGAGACAGTCGCACCCTACAGACCGCCACTTCCCATCCCACCCAGTGAGGTCAGAGGTCAGGCTTCAAAGCAGGCAAAGATGGAGCCTAGGTAGGCCTAGTCCCTAGTCACTGCTCCTGGGTGATCAGGTGGGTGGAAATGAGATGTTCCAAACCCATGTGTCCTGACTCCAGAGGGACATGGGAGGGCCAGAGGGGGTTTCAGGGGCTGCAGATAGCGACAGGGAGGTGGGACTGGGATGAGGAGAGCAGGAGGGAGGTCAGGAAGAAGGGGATAGCTCTGGGTCCCATCCTCATCTGCACACCACCCAGGTCACCCCAGGCATGAGGCCCTGCCAGCCTCCTCCCTGCTCCTGGGAGCCCCGCAGCGTCTACCCCTGACGTCCTCCCACCCACAGCAGCTGTCTCTGCCCATCTCCTGCAGGGAAACCTGCCTGCCTGTCCATGGGCCCACTTCCCCCACCCCACCTGACCCTGTCACTCACGCCTCCAGGGTGGCAGCCCAGAATGGTGCCAGGCCTGGCTGCTCCCCACCAGCGTAGACAGGGCACTGGGAGGGGCAGTGGGGCACAGGAGCTCCGGGCTGGCCGTTAGGGACTCTGCACATGCACTCTCTCTCCCCACTCCATGCCCTTTAAAAGGGACTCCCACAGGCACGAGGTTGGGGCTAGAAACTCCTGGGTGACATGGCTGAAGCGATGCCTGGGGCTGGAGGGCAGGCCCCTCAGGTAACCCCCTTCACGGTTCATCAAGGCCAAGGGTACTCACTGGTCTGCTGAAGAGGCCCTGAGAGGGAGGTCTCCAGGGCCCCCAGAGTGCGCCAGCATCCCCCCATGGAAAGCCAAGATTCTAGGGGCTCTGGCCTCCTTCGCCAAGTGCTTTCCTCCAGGCCAGCACCAAATCTGCCTAGGAAGCTACCAGTTTCTCTGTGCCCGGCCTCTGGCCATCACCACCCCATCCCAGGCCTCCACGCTGCTCCTGAGTGGGCCCACTGCCTCGGTGGCCTCCGGGCCTCAGGTTGCCAGGGCTCTCTGGGCCCCCACAGGTGCCTCCACAGCCTCGCTGTGGCAGGATGGTGCTGCCCTGTCCCTTTGGACTCTAGGCCTCACGTCCTCAAGTCCAGCCCTGCCTTCGCACCTTTGAGGCATTAAGGACACCAGCTTGTGGTGGCTCAGTCTGCCAAGGGGACCCTCAGACTCCTTAACTTTGGGGTCTGTCCCTAGAGAGGGCCTCTCCCGGACCCCGATGGCAGAGGCCACGTGCAAAGTCCCAGAGCTCTCCTGTGGGATGCAGAGGTGGCAGGGCCAGGGCTTCCCACTCGCAGCGCCTCCAGGGTCACCTGCTCCTTGCTACTGAGACACAATCAGAGTAACACTGTCCCAACGGATGAAAAGACCACCCAGCCCAGCCTGTGCCATGTCCTGGTCCCCCACCCCCGCCCCCACCCCGGGGCAGGGTAACACCTGGGCCCAAAAAGGCAAAGAACAGTAGACAACATGTCGGCTCCAGAGGGAAACCCCCACTTGGGGGCACAGTCCCCAAGTCCCACCCCCGGGCCCTGACAAGAGCCCGTGCAAACGCCTCCCTCCCCGCCGCGCGCCCATCCCCAGCCAGCCGCCTGACGACGTGTTCGGATGCCAGGGCGCCGGCACGGTCTCGGCCGGGCGTGGGCCGTGGCGCCCCCACGAGAGGGGTGGGAGAGCGGCAGCGCCCTCCAGGCCCCTCCCGATCATCCCTCCATTCAGCCCGAGCCAGCTCGCTCGCCCTCCCCCGCCAACTTTCCCCCACTCACCACCCCATGGACCAGAAACTCAAAAAGTTTGCTTTTGGTGGCTTTGCGCGCCCCTCCGGCAACTTCGTCCGCGGCCATCGGGGTGGGCTCAGCGGCTGCTCTCACTCTCTCTCTCTCTTCCTCTTTCTTTCCCTTTTCTGCCTTTTTTTTCCTCCAACTCTCCCCTCTGAGTCCTGCTGGGCTCTCTCACACTTCTACTCGAGCGGAGTGGGGAGGGGGCCCCTTCAGGGCTGCCCTGACGGCC